CAAGGAAACAAGAAGCGTATCACACCAGAGGTTACCATTGCTATTTGCAGCATTATCAGAAACAAACATAAGCTCCTAAGAGCCAAAAACTGAGCCTCGGCTCTATGTCTTAGCACCAACCAACCTTCCTAAGAGGTTTAGGCCAGCATTTGGTACTTGTAACCCAGGGCTGCTGGAGAACCTGAACAATACTACAACGGAGAAGGAAACAGCTAGAAGCAGAGGTATTTTAAAACTGCTTTATCCAGAGCCGTCTGTGGCCCCAAGCTTGGCCTTCAAGCCCTACATGACAGTTTCAGAGTGGTTAACCTCCCCCACGTTTTGAAGCCATTGCCCCCCAGAGACAAACACCACACAATCCATTAAAATGAACCTCGGAAGCTTTATTCCTCCCAACCCTTGCTGCCTCTGCCCTGCCAGCCTCCTGCCCCTGTCCGTATGTGCGTTAAAAACCACTACATGAGCCCTCGGTCACCAGGTTAGAAGCTCCACAGGCCTGCCCTGCACTGCCCCGAGGTCTGGGCCGACCGCCCAGCAGCGTCCCTCAGCTGGGGCGCGTACCATCTGAATAACGCGCGATGCTTGTCAGCAACATAGGTATGTGCACGAATTACCAAGTCTGGTTCCCACTGCACGTGGCTGGCTGTTTAAATAGATGATCTTAGGGCTGCCAGTGTTTCGAAGATGGTTAGAGCCAGTCAGACCTGAGGAGTGGACTGCTGGGTGTCTAAGGTGCAAAGGCTGACAGCACCTCTTTCTGCAGCAGGTGCATTCTTCACACCTCTCAGACTGATGACCAAAAAAAGCTGTTTCCCTTCATCACACAGACATGCTTCTCTCTTCAGCAGCTATCTTATTTGTAAAGGATCTGTAATAATACTATGATTTTTGAAGACTTAACTAAGAGGTCCCAAATTTACCAGAGCAAGTGGTTAATTAGCTAGCAGAAAGAGGCTGGGAGGGGGAATGGATAAAAAGAGAAAGACAGGAGTTCTCTTTTAATTTCCTTGGTAATCCTGAATATTCTTGGATATACTTGAATAGAATTAGTCTATTCAAATCCAAGCATCCACACAGCTGGAACATCAAGACCTGGCAGCTTTACACAGGTGCTGTGGAACAATCATATACCAAACATAACACGGTAACTATAAACATTACAGCAGTACTTTCAGAGTGACTCCTCAAAAGACAAGATCAATTTCTATCAACAACAAGGACAATGTTTTATTGAACAAATCTATGTACAGTACAAAAAAGTTTTTAAAATGAAACACTACTGTTGATTTATTGCAGTTTGATGGCTCAGTTTTAATTTGTACTCTTATATAAAATGCAAAGTAAAATAATTTAACATTCAACAAGGAAGCACAAATTTCCTTTCTTGCTGAACCTGTAACAGCTTTTACAAATTAACAGAGTCCCAAAATGCATACACTGCATTTAATCAGAAAGGTGTTATACAGTACCAAATAAATTAAGAAAATAGTAACACTACCACCCCCTTTGAGTCTTTTGTCCATACCACTGGTGTTAAACAAGAAAATAAATGAGTACAGCTGAACCTTTAATGTGATATTAAAATCACAAAGTTTAATGTTATAAATTATCCAAACTATACAATTCATATAGTTTCAATGAATATGGCTAAATAACCAAAGTACCAGTGACCTTTCCCCACAGATATGACCACTTTCAACCTATTTGCAGTATTTCTTTCTTTTGTGGAAGGTGCCTACCAAGGGCAACTCTTCGAAAATTAGAACTTACATGACCTTTACAGTGACCTGTGATTGGGTTAGAGTAGACAGTCTTAAAAGGAAAATCTAATTCCAAGTTCTAGCCACCTGGAGGAACATTATTAGAATACGATTATTGGCAATGAAATGTACAAACTTTGATCCAACAAAGCTCCTAAGCTCATGTATAACTTGAGGCAGCTTTAAGATATTTGCATGCTTACATTACACATGTACTTCAGTATTTCTTGAATCGAAGTGATACATCTTGAAGAAGTATTTCCAATTACATCATATAATGCTCAATGCCTGGGAAAAAAACTCTTTCAATTCTAGATTTGGAAGCTTTTTCAGCTGTAGAAGTTGCAAGCTGAGTATAGGGTAATACTCAACATACTAAAATATCCTTAAAAAGTACGCCGAATTCTCCCCCACATTACAAGTATCTTTTTGCTCCTAGTTGAAGTTGCTTAATACTGCAACTATCTGACGATACCAACAGGTATCAGAGAGTAGTTTAGAGAAAATGCAATGTCCTTTGAAGTAAAAATCATTACTTAAAACAAAAATGTTACCACCCACTTGCTACTTTAAGTCAATTTAGCATATTTCTGATAGGTGTCAGGTGATGCTAATGTTCACCTATGTAAGAATTCAGTTTTCCAGTTCTCCAAAGCGTATATACTGAACACATGGTATAAACAAATGGTGGTGTCCAAGAAAAGCATCTTTGAACAAAAATGGATTTAATGCAGGTACAAAAAATTATGGTCACAGTTTATGCGTGTACATAGATGCATTTATCTACACACTTAAACCAAAGAAAATACAAATCTCAATCATGTTTTTAAAGCATCTTCAAACACATGGAGCTCCAGAAAACGGCAAAAAAAGCACCAAAGATTAAAGGTACATTTAAAAGACTTTACACAAACATTGTTGACTATTGACTGAGTTTTCAGATTTTTAAAATGCTAATACTTTAAAATTAACCTTTTTTTTCCCCCAATATATTTAAGAAAATTTAACTAGATTAACAACGTTAAGCAAAGAAAAGGAAGCCTGGGAACATTCAAGATGGCAACTGGGTCCTTAAAAATTAGTTGGTAACTTGAAAACAAAAAATGTAAAAGTGCATTTTGCTGATAAGATCCCAAGTAATTTTATGTTTTAAAACTTTTAATGTATTTATATATGTAAATATATATGTATAGTGTGTATATATGTATATATAATGAATGTTGTATTTAAATATTTTTTTGCAACTGCAAAAAGAATTCTTTGGTGCCTCAAATGTCATACAAATCTCTGAAAGTGGGCCAGTCATTGGTATTAATGTAATGCACACATACCTGTGATCATAATTTTATAACCTTTTATGTTAATCCAACTCAAAGTTAAGGCAAAAATTTTCTAGAATTCAAGAGTATGATTTTGAATTTGTGTTTTTTACCTCCCAGGACGGGAAAATGAAGCAGAATTAATGCAAACATCTGTTTAATTTCACAGAGGATTATCAGCAGAGGCATTACTGAACTATTAAGTTAAAGTTCCACAACTACTTAACAGCCTATTTTACAGTGAAACTCTTAGGTTTGCAAGCGTGAGCCATTGCTACAATGAACAGATCTTTTATGTACCTCTTGATTTTTTTACTTACTAGTTTTTACATATCTGTTGATTTAAGCAAGTTGATCATCTTATTATGCCATACACACATTATGATGAACTACTCAGTAAGCAAACTAGCTGAGCAGAACAGTTGGTCTTTGCTGTCCTACATTTCTGTGATGACTCCATTTGTACACACCAGTTTTCACCATTATACCTTCCATGCCTACAATCACACTAAAATTTTCAGCTACCTGCACAGACCAGGATCCCAAATAAAACATTTTTAGGTGGCAAGGCAGGATAAGATAAATTAGAGGATAAATTATCACAGTAATTAGACAATGTGTATGTTTGTCATGCCTCTGTTTGGGGTGGGAAGACCAAAAACTACAACAGCATCCTTTTGGTTTCCAAATGTCCTGTATTTCAATGTTCCATACAGAGCTCAATGACTCTAATTTCCTGTCTTCACTTTCTCATTTTTTCTACAAACAGTGAGTTTTGGATAAAGTGCTTAATATTTAAGTCTAACTCCTTCACTAACTTCTGGGAAAGGCTATCTTTTCAAGAGATACTATTATAGAGAGTTCTAATGTGTCTTAAAGGTTGAGTCGATATGTATTTTTTCCCTTCCTCTAGACAGTAAATAAGTAGTTACAGTCCTGAGTTGTGAACTACCACCACCAAGCAATATCACGTATGTGAAACAGGCTCTTCCTGATCTTTTTTTTTTTTCCAACTTGACATGTGCTCTGCTTTTGTCTGCTCCCCCCCCTTTTTTTAAAAAACAGGAAGCCATCTCAAGTTTTTTTCAGTCACACCAACAGCGAAGGACCCCTGTATTTGCATAAAATTAGTTTAACTTTGCCCTGTAATGCAGGCTTAACCCCCTTCACATTCTGTATTTGTTTCAATCGGCTTCTGCTAATATCCACACAATCTGTGCAAGTACTGCTTGTATTAGTCTTCCTGCACCTACAACGGATGTTTTACAAGACACTCTTAACATACACATTTACCATAGCCTTGAAAAGGGCATCTCTTGCATCCATCTGATTTCCACTGTGCATAACTTTCACACTTAATACCACATGAACTCACTTTTCCTTGCATGCTCTGTACTTCAAGTTTTTGGCTATTCGAGCATTCCATCCATCTTTGATTTCTTTCTACATTCCTCTTTTTGGATTCTGAGTTTATTAAATGAGCTCCGTGCTTTTTAGCAGATAATGGAATCACATACTCAAAACTTGACAAAAAGAATGCATGGTTCCTCTGTGCTTTTCTTATCCGTATTACAGTAACATAGCACGTTCTTGAATGATTCCTTCCCAGCTGTGTGGATGGATATCCTTTAACCACACATTTACCAACCAATGCAGCTTTCAGAATTGGCTGGTTTTATTTCCATAAGGCAATTAACACCTCTGTTTTCTCTGCTTGCCCAACTATATGCCTTTTCCTTAAACCTTCATGCTAGAAAGACTGTGCTGCTAAGCTTCAATCACACATTTGGAATGAATGTGGCTTTTCAGATAACTGGTACTTTGGGGATTTTGTAGCAACCTTTCTGGACTCAAGACCTGCAGAGCTCCTATTATTCCTCTGTGAGTTCTGTCTAGAAAATGTGCTTTGTCTTTATCAAGGTCATGTTTTTCTTTAGTAATTTGAGACTGCTTTATGATTAAGGCCAACTGGGAAACAAACTTATGCTTCTTCATGTAGTGTTTTCTTACACCACTCTTCATTTGATACATTTTCCCACAACATTGAATCAGGCACCTGTAAAAGAGAATGCACTGGGATCAAAATGAAGACTAACAAATGTAAATCATTCTTTAATTTAGAACACTGCTTATGTTTTTCAACATGTTTAGTTTCACACATGCAAGGAAAGAATGACCCCCTCCTGTTTTATGAGAAGTCTTTCCCATTAGAGTTGCCTACCAATTCTCACCACCTCTTTCTTATTCTAAACAGCACGTCCAATCTGAACTTCCAATTTAGCACAGTATTGTGATTTAATTGTCTACATTCTAGCATATTACAATTGCTTAGAAGTTGTGTCTGTCTTATCTATTCCACCAGGCTGCCTGTTTTCAAAGACCATTTTCTGGTTGGTATTTACCTCCAAACAAACCAACCCAGAAGGCCTGTAAGACTTACTTTCATCATCTGAATCGAATCCAAAGAGCGTCTGACACTTCTTTTGTGCAAGGTGAGCCTCAAGTGCTTCTGAATTACAGTAGATGGTCAAGCAGTTGCCACATCTAAGTCTTTCTGTTGATTTGCTACAAAATTGATCTTGTTCAGAACGAGCATCTACTGTATCAGTCAAAATTTTTCTACGTTTTGGCATGCTAATGTATCGTTCGTCAAGATAACTTGGAGGCAATGGTCTAACGTATGGTTTTGTTATGATGACACCATATGAAGTATTCTCTGTTGTCTGATTTGGTTTAGAAGGTAATTGCGAGGCAGCAGCATTATTTTGCTGTGTATCATGACAATTCTGTAAAACTGGTAACACTGACCCATTTTCTGTCCTTGTTTCATCTGCCACTCTGTCCAAAGGTATTTCTGATGACTTTGATGATGTCTGATCTAGGTCACTGTGCCCATTGACTAGTTGGTCGCTAACGACATTACAGTTTTCAGAATTTGGCTGTAACACAGGTGTCTTTTGGTCTATCAAAGTTAAAACTGTAGCACTACTCTCAGATGAACTTTCATTTCCATTGTGAATTACATTATTTGCTTTCTTCTCAACACTTTGAATATATGTCTTTGGTTCTGTAGAATCCTTCCTTGCCTTCCAAGTTGGAATTGGTAAATCTACAGTTTCTTTTTCATTAATAGATTCATCATCTTGGTAACTACAAAGTTCTGAAGCATCATCTGAAGAATCTTTTTCACTTGCATCTTCTGAACATTCTGATGTTTTATTTAAATAATGCTGAGCCTCATGTTCATACAGCAAAGGGAGCTCCTCAAATAGTTCGCAGCACTCTGCAAAATTGCACTGAGCTTTAAAAACACTATGACTTTTTGTATGTTCTGCAAGCTCCGTTGACAGCTTAAATCTCTGATTACAATTAAAGTGTAAACAAAAGTAGACATTTGGATACACATGTCTCTTCAGGTGGTCTACAAAATGTTGTGAATCAGCAAATTTTCTCTGGCAGAACCGACATTTTCCTTTATTCCATTTCATTATATGTTGCTGCACCTTCAAATCAGTTGGATGAGCTTTTCTTGCATGTTTATTGAGGAATCGTATCTTTTTAAATGCTCTACCACAACCATTAGCAGGGCACTTAAAGCTTCCTTCCTCATCCATAGCGTCAATTTCTTTTTGAGGGCAAAAAGCTCCATTCACTTTGTGCAGAACAGGTGACTCTTTACTTGAGCTATCATCATCATCTTCAGGCAAACTTTCTGTACTTAAAGCATCAGGAACATTATTAAAACAGCTGTCACTACTATTTTCAGTAGCATCATCCTGGTCACTTACATGGTTTTCCACCACATCAAGTACCTGTTCTGGATTCTCTTCCTCCACTTGGACCACTTGGTCAGCACTTGGAGCTACTGCAGTCTCTGGTTCATTATCTTTGGAACCATCAGAATTCCCGTTTTCAAGAGACAGAGAAACATCAGAACATTCTACTTCATTAACAGCAGGAGCTTGCTGACCAGCCTCAAGAACTGCAGCAAGATATTGCCTTTCTATCTTCCTGACATGATTCTTTAAGTGCTTCAGCATAAGTCCTTTTTGCCTGAACTTTCTGGTGCAAAGTACACAGGAAAAGCTGCCCTTTTTTTGGTGAGCTTGTGCATGTTTCACAATGTGACCACCAAGAAATTCCTTGTTGCATATCACACAGCGGTGTCTTGGTACAGTTTGATCTAACATTTCAGGTGCCTCAAGAGCTTCATGGTTCTTTTTGGCATTACCTTTGGACTGGGCTTCAGAGAGGTCTTCAGGGTCAAGCTCCCCATTGCTTGCATCTGTTAAACAGACACGTTCCTCACTCAGACCCCTATACTCTGTTATCTTCTCTGTATTTGCAGTAGAGTTTTCCAGTGTACTTTCACTTAAGCCAATGAAGGCTTTATCCCCCAATAATGCTAAACAATTCTGCTTGATCATCAAGAAATTCCAAAACTCAGGATCAAAAAACAAACCTTTTTTCAAAATCGGAAGCAATTCAAAACGTACACGGTTTTGAACTGAACTAGTGCACTCATTGTATTCTTCATCTGCACATTTGTATAAATGTTCGACAGTGTAGTACGATTCCAAGGTGCGCTCAAGAAAAAATATTGAAAGAGCACAAATTCTGAGGATCTCTAAGTCATTTGGCAGAAAATGAGCAATTGCTTTATAAATAAGACTTTTCATGTTGGGATCTTCACGGAGGTCCAGCTGTAGGGCACATCCACATATCTCAACACATATCTGAAGACCATCTTCACCAACCTGCACAAAGGAAATTGCAGTGCACATTATTATAGAGTATGCATAATGGTATTTTCCTTATGGGCTTACAGAAGTCTACAGCTTGAAAGTAAAACAAAAAAATCGGATCCTCAGAAAAAAAATAACTAGTCTAAACAGCGCCCAAACATCTACATCCCTTGTATTTATATTAATCTACCTGCAAAATAGTTAGGAGTTCAGAAAGCATCCTGCTAGTAAATTTTGCCTAAAGGCATGTACATTTTAGAATAATGCTCAAACAAGACTATAAAATATAGCTGAAAATGCTCCAAAACAACATCTGGTTTGCACTGAAAGTTGTAACACCACTGTCAACAAAGCTTTGGATACTTTTGCCACGTGTAGTTCTATAGTTAAAGACAATTAATTATTTTGGAATAAAAAACAAGACTGCAGTAAATCATACCTGATCTAACAGTATCTTCCGCATCTTCATTACCTAGGCTGTTTCATACTATAATTGGACAGTTCATCTATTTTGTCTCTGTTTTAACTCATTTAATTTCATTGCATAAAAATACAAGTTTTAAAATATTGCCCTCAATTTTGAACAACGACCACCAGGGAACCCATAACTACCTACAGCCAAGCATTCTACAAGGCCTGACTTTTCAGAATTGACAAACTATCTTTCCATTGAGCAGAATTCCTATTCCACATTTTAGGCTGGGGGTCCTGTCACATACATGTACTTTGGAGGGATGATCAGAAACATACTGCCCAACATGTAGCAGATTGAGGTAAAAAGAGATCCTGGAAGTTTAGAAATAATTAATACCTACCTGTATTTAAATGTGAGTTAACAAATGCATACAACGCTCCATAAGTAGTGGCTTATTAAAAAATGCAGTCATTCAGATACAAATACAAGTTATTCATGTCACCACAATTATTTTCGAATACATACTGAGATTAAAATCTTGAACGGCAGCAAATCATTGCATTTAGAACTATATAGCAGCACCCATGACTTAATGAAGTCATGAATTAATTTATGAAGACCATGAATTAATTAATAATTCATTCAGGGCACAGAATATGAATGAGCTCCGTTCAGTCAGGTTGATGATAAAATACAACAATTGTTTGCAAACAACTCGCTGTCCTGTGTGTGAAGCATTGCACATTACATCTCTTGCAGATGTCTGTGTGGGACACTGTAAGACTAACATCTGAAGTACAAAACACAGTGTACTTTTCTGAAGCAAAACTGCATCTTCTCCTATCTTAGTCTAGCTTTTCCTTTATGTTACATTAAGCACTCCTTCCAATTTGATTAGAACTGGTGAAAGGATTCAAAACTTAACACAAGGGTGAAAGGCAGATACAATGGCATTACACAAGTCCTATTTCCGTATGGAGCCAGGCTAAAAAAGAAAAACCAAAAAAACTCCAACAACTGATGCATCTTTCGCATTTACTCCATGTACTTATTGTTAATCTTCCCATTTATTTATAGAGGATGACATTCCTCAAACTTACTGCAGGCAGAAAGAAAAACTCCAAATTCAGTCAAAAAAACCTCAAACTTAAAAACGCACAACAGATCAAGGGCAATCATAATACTGAAGTATGTTCTGGAACTTGACAAAATTTTAAAGTTAATATTGTGTCCCTTCCTCTCCTACCCCCTCAACTTTCCATAAAAAGTGGCCATTACACAATATAAACATCACTTCTCTAACTAGTTACAAAAAGAATGGGGGTGGGGTAAAATAAACGAAACTTACTTCATCCTTAATGACTTTCATGAAAGGAAAAATTACTCTGACATTTGTAGCAATTCGTAAAAGCTGGTAGCACTGGTCGACAAATACTTGTTTTGATGGGTTAGATTTAAGCTGCAGTTTACTCCAAATGAAGATCAGGTCCCTATAAGGACAGAACAAAATATTTTTATTAGATTGAGTTTTAGAACTCTGTCACCAAGCATGATGCATTACTAAGAACAACTATTTGCATATTCTGTAATTAAAATAATATTTGAGGGTGTAATAGCAATCTCATTAGCACCACATCTGTACACAATGGAAAATGCAACTTAACTACTTTGTTAAAGCATTCAGGGTACCTCCTATCACTAAGCCAATTAAATATTCAACAAAATATTGATGTATTCAGCTTAGTATCAGAGAACTGCATAATAAAATCGGACACTACAGCATCTAGCCCTTAACACCACAGGCAATAAACATCTGTGGTCAGACATTGAAATAGGCTGCCCAGGGAAGTGGCTGAGTCACCATCCCTGGAGGTGTTCAAAAGACAGGTAGATGTGGCACTTCGGGATCTGGTTTAGTAGGCATGGTGCTGTTGGGTGGATGGCTGGACTTGATGATCTTAGAGGTCTTTTCCAACCTATGATTCTATGATATGATAATTATGAAATCAGGCTGAACAGCAAGCTCTGTGTGCTCTTGGGATTAAATTAATTGCAGTACAAAGATGAGGAATCCTTCAGGAAAAGAAGTGTCTGAATGTGAAAAATTGGAGTGTTGTAGAAAGCTACCTTCTGACATGGTCCATTGACAGGAAATATTGATATTCTCCAGTTATGCATACTGCATACAATTTTCTTTTTTTACTGCTGTCATCACTGGTCTTCTAGCCAATAGCAGTAACATGAAATTATCAGGCTTTACAGCTATTCATACATCTCTATGGTCTTCAGTTAAATAACATTTCTGACTGATACAAGGAAACATAAGAATAGATTGCCAGACTCTACAGCAGAGATCCTACCCAGGTAAGGTGTTTAGTCTATAAAATATAGCTAACTGAAATTTACAGCCTGTAAATTCTATGCACTTTAATTCAGAAACTGGGAAAGGCAACCAGACCTAACTTTTAGTTACAAGAAAATTTGCCAGCACAAACATTTTACACAGGAGTAGACAGAGTTAGGACTAGTCACAAATCCCCCCATAACATTACAATGAAAACAGGGGGACCAACCAACTTTAATCTTCTGTTTATTCTACCAGCCTCCACCCTCAGAAAACACAAACCCAGTTACTGACAAAATATTTGGCTGATCTTCCAGGGTTCTAGTTTGTGCCAGATGCAAATCAGACAAACCTTTTAAGATTAAGCTTGTCTAGTAAGGTCAGTGCCTGCATGAAGAGAAGTGACAGAACTGTCTGTGACAAAACACCAACTTCACTTTTAAATCTAAGACAGCTCTGCAATTCTGCTTGACATTTTAAGAGCTAGATTGTTTTCTTTCATTCAGAATCCAAGAAAACTGAAGTTGAAAGAAAAACCAAGCTTACATGGGGGAAACTGTGAAAAAGGAGTTCTACAAGCAGCTCTACCCACAAAAAATTAGTCTTACAGGTTTTCTGAAGATACAAGCTGTTCACCTCTGCCTTTACCAGATTGGAAATCTAAATTCTTGAAAATCTTTGCAAACTTCACATACAAGTTTGAAGCCACCTAGTGTCTCTGTGCACCAAACCATTCATAAAAACTCAGTAAAAGTCTCATCCCAAAGTACAAAATAAAGAACTAAACAGTGTTGCTGTTAAATGTTACAGCAGTTAAACAATACAACTTATTCTCTGCTTTGTCTCGCATCATTTCATAGCAAGCCATTTCAACACTAATCCCAGAGATTTTGAGGAAACTCAAATTATTCTTCTGAGAGATTAGTGGTTAAAGTGGCTTGCCATGTCTTCAGACAAGTGTGATGGCTGGCACAAGGAAATAGCTGAAAAAGGAATGGAGAAAACTGAAAGCAGAAGGAGCAGCTCCACTGGTGAAGAGGAAGCTGCTAAATCAGTTTAACCACCACTTGACTAGATCCTGATATGAAATAATATTTTTGTCTTATTCCTCCATGTAGACATGGAGGCTTCTCCTTCTCAAGCACGTTTCTGACTTTGATAATCATTAAAGATTAAAGCATTCTTGAAGAGCTGACTGGACTCTATTTCAACCACTTAAATGTTTTGGATACCAACTTTAATGCTGAAGTCAGCAGCACTTAATATATTTCTGTGTCACTGACCACAACACAGATGATAAACTTGAGATAATGTAGGCAGCAGTAGTCTTTTATGTGCTCGATTATTATGGCATAGTAGTATAGTACTTAATGACATTTACTTCTTGAATAGTAGAACTTAGTTGACACTGAGGTCTCTGCTTAAACTATTATGGACATGTGTTGGGGCAATTTAAATCGTTACTGTGAGATCACAGAACTCGGTACCTCTGTACCAGAGGCAACCAGGAATTCCAGCCTGTTAACGCTCTCCAAAAAACCAAAACCATTGTGTGTCTCCCGTCAGCAACACAAGAGAATGCTTAAGCCTGCCCTACCTTAGCCAGATCTAAAACCTTTGGTAGTGTTGATCAGTAGAAAGTCTATCTCTCCTTGGGTACAGATAGCAGACTTCACCAAAATGTTATTCAATTCACAAAAGTTACCTAAAGGCCAAAGACTGATTAAACGTGTGGGAAAAATGACTTGACTTCTGAAATCCACTGCATAGGAACCACCTGAAAACAGCCAAAACAGCATTTAAAAATTGCCAGGCAGAGAGGGCAAGCCATTCTACTACACCTGTTCTATCAAAATTTTGGCTGTCTTCCCGAAGATACCACTTTTTGATACTACAAAGTCATTAATCACATCATTATGGACTGATCTCTTAGCAATACCTTGTCCACAAGTATTTCTAGTAAGACCAAGCACAGTTTGCTTTGTGATTAATTTGTAAGTGGGCTTTCACTTCAGAAAAACAATTCAAATCATCTGAATCTAGAATTTATTTTTAATGTCAATGAAAACAGTAAGAGTTTTGTGACAGAGCTGCTTAAAGTCCATCTTCCTCTGAGATATGAGAGCTGATGGTTTAAGCGTTAAGATTTCACATAAGTTGCTCCACATGAAGCATTAGCAATTATCTGCTATTTACAGCTTTCTAATCTATTTTGATATCTTATCTTTGCTAGCAGCATTTGCTGCTAGATTCCTGCTAGATCTGCAAGGTCCTCAACTGCAGACAAGGCAAGATAATTTATGCTGTGCTGAAGACATTAAAATCTTCCCTAGGGACAAATACACGGTGTGGTTAAATTAATCTGGCTCCTACTTCCAAAAAATTTGAATTACAGTATAGTCATGCCTTCAGAAGCTTTGTTTCAGTTTACATGATCTATTAAGCATTATGTCGATTTCTCTTGTTGGGTGCACAATTGTTAAGGTTCAGCATCTGTAAAGAATGAAACTGCTATTCTATTCTGGACACAACTGCTCTGAACTCTTTTCAAAGATCCTCAGGATCTATATTCTGAACTGATGATATCAAACAGTACTTTAGTCTCTTTTGATTTCATTTTTTACATCCATTTTGCCAGAAGATAAGGACAGACATCTTGTTTTGAATAGTAACTTTCAAAATGGACGATGCAAGACTTAATGATCAACTGATTAAGAGCAAAGTTAACATGTTACTACAGCAAAAGGTATAAAAAGTAGGTTTAATTCCAATATTTAAAATGCATTTCTTAAAAGACTGAATCCCTGAAACAGAAATCACTAACAATGTAACATATATGTGGGTTACATCTGCAAATTTCCTGGTAAGTAAGAAGTCAGGAGATGCAGCATTTGGGCAGGAATCAGCAAAGCTGGATTCCGTTCCGAAGTTGGTCACCAGGCTCACACAAACTGTGTATCTTTTTGGCTGAACTTCTCCATCTGTCCTATGGGGACAGTCATGCCCACCTTTTTCTGGACAGACAATGAAAAATGCCACTAGGTACCTGCAACACACTGTATTATAAATGTATGTCATGATCATAATTTGAATGGTTTTTATTCAACACCATCAATTACTCATCCAGTAGTTAAGGAAACATTTTATTAACAAACCAAGCATTGTCATGTCTGACCTTCATACTTCCTCAAGAAAAAAAGGAGACACATCTCACTTTTCCATTCTCTGAAACCTGGGAGCAGGGAAATCCTACACAAATTCTAAACTCCATATTAAAATTAGTTATGCAGACTAATAATTTAATCTCTATTGACTGAAAACAAATTAAATCCTTGCTGACTAAGCCTTTGTACTTAAACTACATAAACAAATTAAGCATAATTTATCAAGGAATGCAGATGTTACTTTAGGTACAGAAATTATACAGGCTAGTCAGAAAGATTATCTTCCTTAGCCATCTTCCAGTCCTCAGAATGATGAAAGTTGTTTTGACAACCCTTTAGAAAACGCCGCTTAGCCATAAAAACATCCAACTATCAAGCTTAGTCAGTGTGTATGAAGACACGCTTACTTAAATGTTTTCTAGAGGACCATCATTTATGTTACAACTCTGTTTATGACGTAAAGTTTGCGTAACTCATAGCACACTTTCAGAATCATATATTCTCTTTTTAGACACATTGGTGACATAGGCAGTCATTTAGTTAGCTGAACAGCAAAATATCTGCATTGCCAGAGAGTCTACAGACTGCATACTGTTACGCATTGCTAATAATAATGCCGTATTTACAGGCATTCACAGCCTAAAGTATGTAAAGGCTCACCCTTCTGTTACTCTCAAACAGTTAATAAGTGTTATGTACTATGTAGGCTACCACTGTACATGACTGCGTGTAAAAAGGCAACAGGCATAACAGAAGTACTAAAACTGTTTAAAAATCACGTTAGAATGTTTTTATCTGGTGTTTTAAACTTGAGCTACATCTCAAAGTTAGATGAGTTTCATTTTCGCAATATGCATTTAT